TTCTTTCTTTCTTTCTTTCTCTCTCTCTCTCTTTCTGTCTTTCTTTCTTTCTTTCCTCTCTTTTTCTTTCTTCTTTCTCTCTCTCTCTCTCTCTCTCTCTCTCTCTCTCTTTCTTTCTTTCAAGCTAATACATCATCTTACTTGGTATGACGTGGTACATCCTTGTGTGTTTTTCACTTACATCTCTGTAATGATTAATGATCTTGAGGAGCTTTTTGTGTGCTTGTTGGCTGTTTGTGTATTTTCTTTGGAGAAAAGTTTGTCTTTTGCCCACCTCCAACCCTCCCACACACACTCTTTTTTGAGACAGAGTCTTGCTCTGTCACCCAGGTTGGAGTACAGTGGCATGATCTCAGCCCATTGTAACCTCTGCCTCCTGGGTTCAAGAAAATTATCTTCCTCAGCCTCCCAAGTACCTGGGATTACAGGCACCTGCCACCATGCCCAGCTAATTTTTGTATTTTTAGTAGAGATGGGGTTTCACCAGGTTAGACAGGCTGGTCTCGAACTTCTAACCTCAAGTGATCCATCAGCTTTGGCCTCCTAATGTGCTGGGATTACCAATGTGAGCCACCACACCCTGCCTTTTGGCCATTTTTAAATTCAGTTGTTTGACTTCTTGTTGATGATTTGTAAGAGTTCTTCGTTTATTCAAGATGCTATAGCCTTATCAGATACATGATTTAGAAAAGATTTTTTTAATAATGGAATTTTTTTGTATATGGTATGAGGTAAAGGCCCAACTTCATTCTTTTACATGTGGGTATCTGGTTGTCCTGTCGTTATTTAATGAAGATACTAATCTTTCCCCATTGAATGATTCTGTCACCCTCATCAAAAATTGATAAAGACTTTGATAGCTGTGCATGGTCAAAAATTAACAGACTTTTGATGGCTCATGCTTGCAAACCCAACACTTTGAGAGGCCAAAGCGGGAGGAACGCTTGAGGCCAGGAGCTTAAGGCCAGCCTAGGCAACATAGTGAGACTTCCTCTCAACAACAACAACAAAAATTTTTTTATTAGCTGGGCATGGTGGCATTACCTATGGTCCTAGCTACTCTTGAGGCTGAAGCAGGAGGATCACTTGAGCCCAGGAGTTCAAGGCTGCATTGAGCTATGATCATATCACTTTACCTCCTTCCTCATCAACAGAGCAAGAGCCTGGTTCAAATGAATAAATTAATAATAAAAAATAAAGACTTTTGAATGTCCAGTGTATGCCATTGAAAATCTTTTACACTGGAG